CCATGAATCAGGGTCTCCTAGATTGTTCCAGTTAGGAGGAGAAATTGGTGAGAGTCAGGTATTTTCCAGTGCAATTTTGTTTATTTGCAAGGAATGTACACAATCCTGTTTCCCTGAACACCATTGGAATCAAACAACAGGAGACAGTTCCTTTGTTCACTGTTCCTGGCATGCCCGTCCAGCCAGCACTCTGTACCCAGAAAGCTTTTTCTCAGCTTTACCTCAGGGACACATGACGATGCTTCCAGGTGTCTGCTTAGCTTTCTCTCTCTGCTTCTGGCTTGCTTCTGACTCACTGTACCAGGGTGTCTCGCTGCTCACAAAATCCAGATTATTGGGTGGGGTCTCATACCCCCTTTGTCTTAGGTGAGGCTGTTTAGCTGATTCTCACAGCTCACGAGGGGGAAGAGATCCCAAGCATTTGGATGAAGTTTAACCCAACCCGCAACAGCACCATCACTTACATAAGTCTGTGCCTAAAGGCACAAACTTGCCTATAAAATATAAACACACACACACATACATACACCCCTGGGGCTGTAAAGGATGAAGTATTTGCTTTGGGACAGTATCTTCTTTCAAATCAAGGAGAATCCTGTGCTTGCCTCCTTTATTAGCATTTCTGGAAAGATGCCATTGGACTGGGAACTAATTGTTTTGCAGAGTAGGTGGGTGCACACGTCCTGTGACTGTCAACAAAACATAACCCTCCTAGGCTGGTGCATTGATTATATGAAAAATGTCTTTACCGCTCCCTGGTGCCTGTTTATAACCCAAACTGTTTCAACCTGCCAACGGTATTTTAATGATCGAAGATGTTCTGGTGAACTGAAACAATGCATGATGCTAATGATAATTATCTTGCATTTATATAATGCCTTGCAGTCAAATGCGCCCCAAAGACCTGTATGAACTTTGCTATTTGACATTATGTACTATGCCCAGGATATAGGAAGCATATTGCCCTCCAGTGGAACGAACCTATTCCATAGCGAAATGCAGTGACTGTTTAACAGTGCACAGCAATGCTGAATACCAGTTCAGGACAGGAAGTGAAAAAAATACTGTACCCACTGGAAAGTTCAGGTATTGGGGGTTGCAGAGGGAGTGTGGGGGGAGAGGGGTGGATTTATGTAAGCAGAATGCAATTAACAAAGTTTGAAATTGATCTGGACAGTGGAGCCAAAACCACTCGTTAATGGTCACAAGTAATTAAAACAGAATTAATCCCAGCATCATTTTTGCCTGTCTCTATATCCTGAAAGTGCACCATGTATTGTACATTATTCAGCTAAAACAAAACCAAGTTGCACCAGGAAGTGCTCCATGTTGCACTCACTGGAAAGGAGAACAGATCCTGGCCCAAAGTAAGGTCTTTCTGCACTGTTTCTGGGGTGCAACGAGGCCTTAAAAGCACCCTAAATGAGCAGCTGAATATCCTAAATGAGTTTAAAACTGGTGTATTTATTCTTATTGTTGTTGTATTGCGGTAGAGCTCTAGCCCCACTGTGCTAGGCGCTGGACACATACAGAACTAACAGATGGTTCCTGCCCTGTCAGCGTGTCCTACCTCCCCGGTATTGGGGGTTGGAATGGGCATTTGTGGGTTGGAGAGTGGTCAAGGCTTAGCCCCAGAGCACTTCTGGTGGTTCTTACTGTGTAATCACCGACAGCCGAAAGATCTGGTATAACTCTGGGTACTGAAAGAAAATGGCTGCCTTATGCAAATCTGGAAAAGAGGGGGTAAAGGAGGGCCTGCAGAATGTGCCATATAGAAGGCACCTGCTAAGATACTTTTTCCTTGTTTGTTGCCCTGACCATATCACAGCCCTTATTGAATCCCTACGCTGGTTCCCCTTTCATCACCACACCAAGCTCTGATCTTGACCTTCAAGGGCCTTAACAAAGTTGCCTCTCCCTACTTATCCACTCTTATCTCGTAGCCCTGTGCTCCTGGCAGCTCCACTGATGATACCCGCTTTGGAGGCCTGTTTGTCTCCTTCTCTCACAACCACCTCTGTGCTTTCTTCCACGCTGCCCCCACGTCCTTCCTGCACAGGTCTGCAAAGGCACCGCCCTCTTGTCTTCTAAGTCACCACTTGTAGTGAGGCGTACGTGGAGTCCTCCAACTAATGCTGACTGGGTCAAGTGGCTGTGAGGGGTGGATGACATTAGAGAGTGTGTGTGAGATATATCAAAGGTATTTCAAAATTGTGTATATCTGGCCGGAGCCCTGTCCCCTACCCTTCGTATGTCTCTTGTCTTCGATTGTCTGCATCTTGTGTAGCGACTGTGTCCTACTGGGTGTTCACCTAGCGCCTAGCACAATGGGGCCCTGATCCTGACTGGGGCCTTTGGGAGCAACTGTAATACTACTAAATACTTCTCCTGCTACTACTTCAATTCCTAATGTTTACTTTTGGTAACCCAGGCAATCAGTAACATCCAGTGATGTAACCAAATGATCACTTGAGCCAAAATAAAGCTAATTCTAATCTTCTTCAGCTATGCCCACCAAACCAAAAAAAAGTCAAGGGATGTGCTTACTGCAAGTATGTGGTGTTGCAATTGTTTCTAGTGAAACAAGAATCCACTGCACCATATTTAAACAATTATACACCCACTCTTTTGATAAACAATGCAGGAACCATTAGAAACGCATGGAACATTTTTCAGGTCATTCTATATCTTAGATTATTTTTCTCCCTTTCATCACCCCCCCAAGACTGAAATTGTGTAAAGCTTTAACTTCAAAGCCAAATTGTGAATAACATTGGTTTAACCTGAAATTTAAAGCCGGCATTTCCATGCTCTGTAGACAGGGGCTCCCTGGCCTTTTGCTACCATGCAGCTAGCAACCAGAATTTTAATTTTATAAGCCATGGTTGACTAAACCCAGCACTAGGTCTATTAGATATTATTTGATTTGGAATAGAAAAAAGATTTAAAGATACACTGCTCTCCTATAAACCTTTGTACCTTTTCACACTACTGTATGCATGTCTAGACATTCTGTTCAGAGGACAAGTTCAGATTTTCCCTGATGGATTAAAAAATTGACTCTAAAATTGTTAAATAACCTACCAGTGATATTCCTGATTTAAATCAGAATGACTGTGTCTAAACAGGCAAATAAAAAGCGGTTATGACTTGAATCATTGGCTATAAAGCAAAAGGATTCCTCTTTCTGTTTCCTGGTTTGTCTTCCTAACAGCAACCACACATTCTGTGGCACCAGTATGGTAAAGAGGCTGGTCAAAGTTTTCCAAAGTGATTTTAAGTACCTCAATTTTGGGGATCCAATTTGATATACCTTAAAGGGCCCTGATTTTCTCAGTGTTGGTGTGCGGAGCTTTGTGGAAATGAGGGGTTTTTAAATTGTTTCAAGTTGAGCACGCAAAATTGCTTTTGAAAATCTTGACCGCTGTACGTAAAGACCTAATCCTGCATTACTGTAAGTCGTGGGAGTTTGGCATGGATTTCAAAGGGGGTAGGATTGGCTCCTACCGCAAGAGTGGTTGTTGCATAGATCTCTTTAGATACTTGCCATCTGCAAGTTTAAATGATGCAGAACCTGTAGTAACAATTGTCAACGCTGCTGGACATTTACAAGCCATTCGTAAGGGAAGCCATCTTAACTGTAAACAAAACCTTCTCTCGTATGATATGTTTAGTTACACAACGCAAAACTTTCTTTAAGGCAGCTCTTGTCTTTCAAATGTGCTCATTTTTGGTATCTAGTGCAGTGTTGCCAGCTCTGACAATTTGTTGCAAGTCATGCGGTATGTGGTGTTTTTGTTTAAAGCTCCTGGAGTCATGTGAATATGGGAGAATCTCAGCTTTCGTTTAATAAAAGTACATTTGTAGCCCTCATGGTTGCAGAGAAAGGCATGAAAATGCTACCAAGTGCATCTTAAAGGCTCAGAAATCAAAAGGCAAATAAAAAGCAATCATGTTTTTATCTTCTGAAAATCTTGTTACTTTTAAGCCAATCTCATGATTTTGGGGGGCCTGTTTCATGATTTTTGAACCTCTGGGGCTGGCAAAACTGCTGAGTAATGTTGCTAGTCTCTGCCAAATGAATGGGCCTAGAAAACACCCATTGATCTTCAGGAGCGAACCATCCCACCGCTGCTGTAAAATCTTATAACTAATACAAGCGGCCATTACAACTAACACTGGATTGTGAGCCAGGAGCCAAAAGGGCAAAGCAGACCAGACCCTCTAGGATACAGTCATGGTGCCTACTGGTGAGTGCCAGGCCATCTTTGATAGCTGGGCTGCTATCGGTCAGTTGTAGTTTCTGATCAGCCCTGGGATTGGCTGGTGGGCTACTACCTAGACAAGGTGGAGCTGGCTGCAAACAGGCGTCTTTTTGCTCTGCCCTCCACTGCTATAGAGTAGATGGCAAAGTTTAGCGTAGCACTGAAATTCACCAATGAAAAATATGGCTCGCAGCACAGCAGGAACACCTCCATTCTGCAGGCAGAAGAAGCAGTTAATACGTTTAGTGTGTGACTGAGGGGCTAGGAAAATCTACCTGTAACACCTCAGCTGCTGTGGCTTGATGCTATGAACCCTCAGGAATTGCAATGGAACATTACATTTGTTTTTGGGGGCATGGAGAACTGCCTTTTTTAAGGTTAACGATAACCGTAAATGTGTTCTGTTTATCTCTTGGATCCTGATCATTTTGTTATGTATCAGGATAAAGACACTTTGGACTTGAAAATCTCCATTTGCACCTAGGAGGAAGCTAGCCTTTACGGTACCTCATAAAGTTAGCAATGGAATGCATTTAGTAAATTGCGTTACGACTTTGCTATTATAAATGACACCGCGGTTTAATAGCGTCTCTTCCACAAGTGTGTAACTTTTCCTTTTGAACCTGCTGACACATGTAATCAAAGGACAGAGTGGAACGCAGCGAGAGGCCGCTGCGTTGTGGCGGTCATTGTAATAGCAATTTATTCTTCTGTGTATTTTGTCATCTTTGAAAGGTATTCAGGAATCTCCAGTACCAAACGGCCATTCCCTCCCGGGTCGAGATTTCCTTCGGAAACAGATGCGAGGAGATCTTTTCACCCAGCAGCAGTTAGAAGTGTTGGATCGAGTCTTTGAGAGGCAACATTATTCTGACATCTTCACAACAACTGAACCCATCAAACCAGAGCAGGTACGATTATGAACCACCAAGCTTTTCAAATGCACACTTTCTGCCTGTAGACACTTTCTTGCAGGAAATCACCAAACACTTAGTTCTCAAGTTCTAACTAGGAGAACATTGGAGAGTGGGCGTCACATCAAATTCTGTATCAATAAGTGCACAGCAGTCATAAAGGAGTCTGAGTTTGAAAAAAATTAAAAGTTGCTGTTTAAAGGATACAAAGTGTTTGGGGTGTGAAGTTGCATCTGATGGTAGCTTTATAGGAGGATTTGCAAAGAAGGCCAAGGTTTTCAGAATTGTGCAACTAATTTGGGTGCATAATTACTGTGACTGTGCATATAAAGTGGGATTTTTTGCACATGTAAATGACCAGTCTGTCTAGGGTGACCAGATGTCCCTATTTTATAGGGACAGTCCCGAAATTTGGGGCTTTTTCTGATATAGGCTCCTATTACCCCCCACCCCCTGTACCGATTTTTCACACTTGATGTCTGGTCACCCTAAGTCTGTCATCTAACTGGCCATTTGCTCAGGCAAATACCTGATTGGTGTATACAATTTGGATGGTTGCACGTGCAGATCAGTTGTGTAGTTCTGAAAAATCTGGCCCTGTTTTTAGGAAGATCTTATATTTCCACTCCTGTTTTTCACATATGGGAATAAAGCACTTATAGGTGTTGACTTACTCTGTTTGTTTGCTAAGTAGCAGGTTCTCGCTGCTGTTAGACCACCGGTGCAGTACATGTCTTTGCTGTCCTCTGTGTGATGTAGACATTAAACTATTGCTGTCAGTTCAAGTATAGGGTTCACTTGCCACTGGTTCTGTATTTAGCAATACATCCAGTTAATCATTGGTAATGTCCTACATTTCCACTGTTGAACCAGGGTTCCAGGATGTAAAGATGGAAGGACTGGTCTCCCTTGCTTGCACACATCCATATGAGAGCAATGGAGGGATATCCAGAAAGTGGGAACATCCTGGATAAATCCAGGTTCTGGTGGTAGCTCAAGGAATGGAGAAATATGTTGCTATGAATTTTTTTTGAGAGAGTCCTATGCAGTGCTGAAAATTATGCATTATGGTGGAAATCCCATGAGCCTTCGATCACCAGTGTGATCTCTAAATATTGGAGAAGCTTCTCCTTGGTTTTGTGGTCGTTGCAGTGTGTTCTACTTATGTATGTTGCAACTCTGAACCTGAACGTGCAAAGCCCCTTTCCACTAGGTCACCGTTCATATCCAGCAGTAATTGGGGGAAAGGAGGGGGGAAGGGAGCTCGTATCATAATGAGCTTGTTTTGTTCCTAGTTAGAAAAAGCAAACAAGGCTGTCGCTGTGGGTGAGAGGAAAGCAAGCACTGAGAGACTCAAAGAGTGAAATGCCTTTGTGTGCCACTAGATGGTGATTATTCCATCGCTAACGTCCGTTGGGGTAACGTGGAGATGCTAGCACAGCACTTGTCCACATCGTCGGCCCTTTCCACACTGGCTACATGAAAGTCTTTAGCTGCTAGTTCTCTTTCAGTTTCCTTACTTTCACGGGTCAAAAATGATTGAAAAGAAAATGCTGTGCTGGGAAAAGGCTGCTTTGCCACCTTGTTGAATCTTTCAGATTCAACGTCACTCAGAATTGGAGTTCGAAGTCAGCGTACACAGCACGGCAGCACATCTAGGCGGGTGAAGTGTTGCAGGTTACCGAACCCCTGCGGTGGACCTGTTGCTCTAAGCAGAACAAAGGGATCAGCCCAGGTGTGCGGCTGTGCTATCCTGACCACCACACATTTAGCTGGCTGTGGTGAAGACCGATTGCGTCAGATCCTCTTTATCTGTATTCTTGGGTGGCTGGTCCTGCTAGTTAGTCATGAGTTAATTGGGAGGAATGGGCCCACTAATTTAATAACTAAGACCCGGATCCTCCAAGGTACGTAGGTACCTAACGCCCACTGAAATCTATCAGTTAGGCGTCTCCATACCTTGGAGGATCTGGGCCTAAGGGCTTGACACTGTGAGGTGCTGAGCACCTACTGAGCACCTCTGAGTGTCTGTAGCTCCTGTGGGAGTTACTGGGAGCCGAGGGTGTTCAGCACTGTGCAGAACTGGCCTTCATAGGATTTGATATATTTAATCAAAAACGGAGTTTGCAGCCTGATTGCCGTAGAGAGGTCTGAGTGCATCCGCCTGCCTGGGGAAGCTTGGACCCAGGTTTTCAGTTTGTACGACGGGCTGGTGGTTATTTTCACAGCTAGAAGACCCGCAGTCCTAATGAACACGGACGCTATGTGCAGTAGCTCTGCTCCCTAACTTGTAGCAGATGGAGCCCACCTCAGTCCTCCTCAGAGAGGCCAGCCTAGCCCTGCAGACGTGAAGAAATGGCGAGCGTCTCTGGCTCCAGTCTCAGACCCAAAGAAATCAATTATAAACGAAATGTTGAAGATATTAATTGCTAGAAGGGGAAAACCAGAAATCTCCCGGCAATATATAGTCACAGCAGCCGTAAGAGCCTGATCCAAAGGCCATTGAACTTAATGGAAAGAGTCCTGTTGAGTTCAAGGGACTATGGGCCAAGTGCTAAGCGAGCAATGGGGGTAGGAATGAGTAGCGGTTGCTGAGGAGACACAGAAATATGCTAATGTGCGTCATTCGCCCCAGAGGTGTGGCATTCTGGCCCATTGTGACAATAAGCTGCCTGCTCCCTAACTAAAGTAAATATCCATAAATATCTGCCATGCTGCCAGTTTTAGTAATTTTACTCAGGCCCCGCCTTTCTTGATTTCAGGAAGTGGTTTGCTTGAGTGGGAGCTCCAGGATTTGGTCCGTTATTCGTGCAGGTGAATTACAATTCTCTGTCCATTCGAATACGGAGCCTCCCACAGTTCTGCCTTGGGAGCTCCCCGGGGGGATTTTCAAACAAACGGTGAGTGGAGATGTGGTCAGGCTGCAAAATGCAAATCTAGGTTTTGAGATGTTCGGGGCATTGGTGCTTGGGTTTTGGATCAGCCCGTCGTAAAGAGAAAGGTCATCGGCGATGTTTAGAGGTGGATCCTGGTTTGGATTTTGAGCCCCTTCAAAGCTTGTGGTGTTTGGATCGCAGCATGTTAGTTTGGTGTCAGCTCTAAATTGAGGATCTGCAAACTAATGGCACAACTCTCCTGTCTGATGCTCCCTCTGCGCTTGTGGAGCATGCATGGGCGGCCGCGGGAGCTCCATGTGTAGATGAGACTGAAGATCTTCAGTGCAGGGTGGAGAAGAGAATTGTGTTTGGAGGCAGCTTACCATGGACTAGGTCTAGGTGTGGTGCAGGGAGCAGGTTGCACTCGCTTCCTGGCTGGCAGTGCCCCTGCCCCTATGTGCTCCCACTCTGAAGGAATTCAGGCTGAATTGGTTGAAATCCTCCCACCGGCTCTTGCTGGGACATGGCTCTATGTATGTGTCAGTGTTATGTCCTGAATTAGGGCACTTACTTACCTTGTTTCAGAGTAGCAGCCGTGTTAGTCTGTATCCTCAAAAAGAACAGGAGTACTTGTGGCACCTTAGAGACTAACAAATTTACTAGAGCATAAACTTTCGTGGGCTACAACCCACTTCTTCGGATGCATATAGAGTGAAACATATATTGAGGAGATATATATACACACATACAGAGAGCATGAACAGGTGGGAGTTGTCTTATCAACGCTGAGAGGCCAATTAAGTAGGAGAAAAAAAACTTTTGAAGTGATAATCAAGATAGCCCAGTACAGACAGTTTGATAAGAAGTGTGCGAATACTTACAAGGGGAGATAGATTCAATGTTTGTAATGGCTCAGCCATTCCCAGTCCTTATTTAATCCTGAGTTGATTGTGTCTAGTTTGCATATCAATTCCAGCTCAGCAGTCTCTCGTTGGAGTCTG